TCAGGACTAAATTGTCAAGACAGACCAATATTCATAATCCGGAGATCACCCTCTTCGCCATAAAATTTTATTTTGTGTTGTGGTATTACAAGTGTACAGTGTACAAATTTCGAAACCAATTACATTAAGTCCCGGGTGAATGACAGTTTCCTCAATAGTATTGATTTTGACCTTTTCTAAATTTTGGATATGTCCTGGAAGTTGCTTGAAAAATTCCACTGTTTCCGTTAACTTTAATAACTGAGACGATTTAAAAACTATTACGCCTTCTTTTTCCGTTACTGGTCTGCCCACGATTACGTCAATTTCCTGTAAATGGTAAGGTACAATATAAAAGTCCGTTAATGCTTTTATGTCGTCAATTTCAATTGTCTCTCGAATAGATCCCATTGGTGTAACAATAGCACCTCCATACCCTTCAATGGTTATATTAGAATCAACCATCCGTTTATTAAATAGTTTGTTCACAGTTTCCAACTTAATTGGGTTACAGCCACTAACAAAGTCGATATAGACGGACACAACGTTATTGCCAATTTTCGCGTCTTTAGGACCTTTTTATTTGTGGGATCGATCGGACCGCACAACATTTTTCGTAATGTCTGTTTCGAATTAGTTTGTTCATCCACGCTAATTATTTTTTTTTTAACATTCGGACTCAAAATGTCCCCTTAATTTACAAAATGTGCACTGTTTGCTACTTTTATTTGCTAGGACAATCACCCTTTTTATGACCTCGATTGTTGATGTTTATAACGATCATTAGCACCATAATGTCCTGGTTTATTGCTTACCGAAGTGCTTGCAACTTTATTATTTAGTGCTAAAAATTTTGAGAGACCACTAATTTCTTTACAATTGGCATCTTTGGCACTCCCTCTTAAAATCAGATAGTTTAAAGTGTTTATGATAACGTCAATAATAATATCATCCCTGAGTGCACAACTTAGTCCCAAAAACAATTTTTTGTAATAAAAGTCAATTATATTTTTCGCGAATAATGTTTACAAATTCTTTTAATTCTATGTAAAAGCCTGTGTGAGATGAGAAAGCATCTAACAGTTTGTTTTTCTAAGCACTCCACAAAATATTTAAATCCTGTTGGTTATTATAGGTACCAGTTTTTGGCATGACCGGACATACGCTTCGCCATACAAAAAATTATTGCTACCTCAAAAATAATGTTACCTACCTGTTGATTCAATTGCATGTATCCATTGTTGCACTGTCAGTGATCCCTCTACTCCTCCACAAAACACTGGCACACTTTTCATGGATTTGGAAACTACTTTCCTTTCCAAGTCCTTTATTATTATTTTTTAATTGTCGATTCTTTTTGCGCATTTCTGCATGGGTATACAGGGTGTCCCACGGTGGATGGCGTATTAGACGTTTATGGAGAACTAAAAAGCGGATCATTTTGAAAATTTGGCAACCGGGATAAATGACCGTGATCTACACTTTAAAAATATTTTTGTTTATGCGGTGTTGCCGCTTCTACTCTAAACCAGTGGCAACATCGCTATTTTAAATGAAACACCCCGTATTTAATTGCATATTTGGATTCTACATAAAATTCTGAGCAGATTTTATGTGATATACCCTATACCTAAGTTCAACCGTTTTGGAAATATTGACAGTTGAAAATTGACTTTTTGCAACTTTGTCAGGCTGTAAAACCTGAACGGTTAATTTTAGAGAAAAATCGATTTTACATTCCTGTCTTAGATTTTTATAAACTATTATTTGACACCAATTTTGAATTTAGTCCATGATTAAAAATTCCAATTAAATTTAATCTCCGGTTAAATTCAAAGTTGGTGTCAAATGATAGTTTACGAAAATCTAAGATAGGGATGTAAGATCAGTTTTCCTCTGAAATTAACCGCTTAGGTTTTACAGCCTGTCAAAGTTGCAAAAAGTCAATTTTCAACTGTCAATATCCAATATCTCCAAAACAGTTGAACTTAGGTATAGGGTATATCACATAAAATCTGCTCAGAATTTTACCTAGAATCCAAATATGCAATCACATACAGGGTGTTTCATTTAAAATAGCGATGTTGCCCCTGGTTTAGAGTAGAAGCGGCAACACCGCATAAACAAAAATATTTTTAAAGTGTAGATTATGGTCGTTTATCCCGGTTGCCAAATTTTCAAAATGATCCGCTTTTTAGTTCTCTATAAACGTCTAATACGCCATCCACCGTGGGACACCCTGTATCTCCGTTTTTTTTTTTTTTTCAACCGTAGGCGGCATATTTTCGTTCAACCACGAGAAAATCTATTTTGGTTTTAGCACAGCACGTAAGTAGATCTCACTTCTGATTTTTTAAAACCAAAATTAAACCTGTTAAATTATTTTTTCCTACTCGCGTGCGGTAAAGTACACTTTACCGCACTCATTTGCGTGCCGTAGGGAGTACTTTACCGCACTCAGTGCTGTAAAATTTCTTTATGTACGACCTACATTGTAAGAGATTATTACGTAACTCATTTTAGCCTGTATGAGCTACGTAATAAGTTGTATTATCGTACTTAGTGATGTAATGAGCTCATTACATCCCTCAGTGATGTAATGAGCTCATTACATAACTCATTTTTATTGAAAAACTGCACTTTTTAAAATTCATTTATCAAAAATTATAAATATAATCTATTGTGAAAAATTACAACCATTTCGAATACATGAAAAAAAAAATCCGGGTCGTACCTACATAAAATGTTGTATATAACACGTACGGTAACGCTCATTACACCACTCGTGTGATTACCACGACTCGGTCTACGACCTCGTCTTGGCAATATTCCCCACTCGTTACTGTAAATATATTCATAAACGCACTTGTAATGTAAATTACTATTATTTTAAACCAAATATGTAATTTTCAGATTCCTTACTGGTTTGAAGGTTCGAAATGTCACTACTATACTTTTGTTTACTTTAAAGCAGGCCGAAAGTGACTGTCCTCCTGTCACTTTCGGCCTGGAGAACTCACTTTCGGCCCTGATAAATTGTCCTTTCACACCTAAACACAAATCCAGGTGCAATGTTTGTATTTAGAAGTAGATGTCACATGGGTTTATATTGTTGAAATTTCCTAAGATGTCAATGTCGATGTCAGAATGTCAGTCAAAATTTTATTTTTGTCATATTTTTCACCTTATTTTATCCAATAATTAATGGTTCAAAATAAAATAGTATAACCTATACCTATACGTAATTCGATGGAAAGTTTTCATATTATTGTCTCGAGAATTGGTTGACTTCGGCGCTTCGCACATCGGTCAACCATATTATCTCTCGACAATAATGAAACACTTTCCACCTCCGCATGTAAAATACTATTACCGCACTTTTTTTATAATACGTTTGTAATTGTTCATATTCTTTATTGTACCGGTCCTGGGATTTTTGTGGAATCAAATCAAAGAGCCGACTGCTGCATTCGCTGCTTCGAATATTTCTTCGTCGAAGGTCTCCATCTCTCAAGAATTTATTTTGTACCAAAAAATGGAAAACTTGAACCACAAAACACGAATAAATCTGTACATACTTTCTACGTGGTATCTACAGACGAGAATTATAATATTGATTTGTTGCTATATGGGGAAAACAAAATGCAACGCAGCAGATTTTGTTAAATGTCACCAAGACTAGACGTTTAACCAGATTCTTGTCATAGTAATTTTGACACCAAAATGATTAGTCAGCCACCATTTGCAATTTATTTTTACCTTGATTTCCAATATGTTTTTTTTCTGAGTATGGTAAAGATTCTTCACCGCATTGAATTAAAATTTAAGAAAAAAATCATAGTACTGGTGTGGTACATAAGTGTGGTAACTAGGTTATTACCGCACGCGAAAGAAATTTCTAAGGGCGGTAATAACCTGATTACCATACGTATTACATACAGAATTTTATCTACAACCGTGCTGTAACAAAATATCCGAAAGAAGTTTAAAACATTATAAGAAAAAAAATTGCGTTTGTCACCTTTGACAGTGGACAAGTAGAATTTAGGTGAAAGGTAGGTAATTTATCTCTGTGCCTCTATTCTTGAGTTTCAGGGAGTAGAAATTACGAGAGAAAGTAGGCGTGACTCCCAAAAATGTGAAATGACACTATTCTTGAAATATTTTTATGGAAAATTGTGGGAATTTTATTCCCCCAAGGGAGTTGAAAATTCTATTAGTCATAAGTGAGAGAAATTTGACAGCACAGAATACATATCCTCACGGATAGAAGGCAAACTGCCTGATAAGATTTTGGGGAAAAATGCGCCGTCACGGCGCTGTGGATGCGATCCGAACTATGGAAGCTATTTCTTATTTTAATTTTCAAAAAAAAAACCAAGTCTTCCTCCACAAATAAACTTTAATTATTTTATAGAGCCCTACATGTTTCGGAACTAGAGAGTTCCATCATCAGGGGCAAGTATGGTCAGAATAAGTGCTCTTAAAACATCATCATTTGATATATTTTAGATGAGGTCGCTGGATTAGCAAACTGTGGAGGAAAATCTAAAAAGAGGTCAAAAATTTAAAAGAAAAAACACATTAAAATACAAAAAGAATTTAAAAATAAAACGTACCTATACTGAATAAAACTGTTTAGGAACATGTAATAAGGAACTTTAATTTGTTTTGTTTTTCAGTCTTATTTTAAATTTAGATTTCTGAAGAGGCATGATGTAAGGGCTAGGGCTCTCCACAAACAAAATGTGGCTAGCCTAGGCCAGCGAAACACCAGCCGCAGCATTACATCTTGTGCTTTGCAGCAAATATTCGTCCTAAAAAAACCTTATTTTAGGTACTTGATACAAAAAATAAAGCTATTTCTCCAACCGAGCAATGACGATCGGGGTAGGTACGCCCGAGTTCCGCGTTCGGCACCATCGGCACTTTGCCTAAATTTTTCCAACAATTTTTATTGAAGATTGAAGTCTCTTTAATTCTGATTTGGTAACCGTTTAACAAGAGCTATATTTTTCTAGGCTTATCCCAAATACGAATTTAAATATGGAGTAGCTGATGGGCATACAGGTGACCAAAAAACTCAATCTGAAATAAGAGATGGCGATGTGGTTAAAGGACAATATTCTTTGGTGGAAGCCGACGGTACAGTAAGGACAGTTACCTACACTGCTGATGACCACAACGGATTCAATGCAGTTGTTACCAGGGTAAGAATTTCAATTATAAAATAATAAACTAGTCAAAACGAAATAAGGACCACCTTTGAAAACCCATTTATTTTTAATGAATTTTGAATAACCCTGGTAAAGTGTTTATTTCCATTGACAATATAAATTTTTTGTGCACACTTTATTTGTTTATCTATATTTATTGTAAATGGAAATAGTCACTATACCAGGGTTAGTCAAAATTCAATGGAAACCTGCTCTTAAAAGTGGTCCTTATTTCGTTTTGAGTAGTATATATACGTTAAAATGACAATTTTAAATTTTAAATATCCATAACAATAGGGTTAAGACTCTATTATAGTAAGTGAGGTTTTACTATCAGAACTGCTCCGTCACAGTCTCAGTAATTTTATTATTTTTCCATTTTTTATTGAGAAAGTGTTCTTTATTTATTATAGCCAAATAATTGGTGATGTCATCTTCTTCTTTTTTTTTTCTTATGCTTTACCTATTATCCAAAGACTAAGTAGGTAGTTTCCTTCAAGAGGAGGATGATCCCAAATACATTAAATTTTCTTTTAGTACTTTAAGAGTGTTGTTTGTTTCAAAGAGATCGCAATAAAGTTATCGTGTGGGCGATTAAGTTTAGTATTTTGTTTTATGGCAGGATCCTGCTTTGGCGATTAAGAACACATTTACCTAGGCTTGTCTGGAAAACATAAAAAATGTAATGTAAATATTTTTATTTGCTATATTACGTACGGCGAGTTCATAAAGTCTGGAATAGTGTCATTATTTTAAAAACAATTAAATTTTTGAGTTGAAGACAGCACATAATAGTGCTCTCTTGAGAAATCTTATTTTGCACTGAACGAGCGTTTTGCTGATGTTGCCGCTAGCTTATCAGCAATGAATAAAACTATATGGGACTGGGACCCGTCTGTGTCGCAAGACCCTAAACTTTAAATTGAAATGCAAAGCTGGTCGAGCACGGTTGCATAAAATAAAATTTAGTAACTGAATTAAGGCTGGCTAAATTTCCCTTCTGGGAGCAGAAGCCAAAAACCCTGGTGAAGAAGGAGAATTGAATTAGGTAACACTAAGGGACACGGTGGAACTAAACTTGGTTAATCTGAAATAAACAAACCGCAGGGTTGTTTAGGTAGGTATGAAAAAGTTATGTAGATAATATCGCTGTTGATAGAGACAGTAGAATCTAAATTTCAAACAATGCGAAATTATTAAATTAAAAGCGGATCAGGAACAAACTATATCAAGAAAATTAAGAATCTAGTGGGTAATTCAAATAAATAAATGCACTAGAGCCAGAGACAGAGGGTTTAGGATAAATCGGTTACTATTTTTGCCTGTGCGATTTTTTTCAGAAATCGGTCAATGATATTTCACTCAAACTAAACGTGATTTCATCTAAAGAAGCAATTTAGTACATCCAACTATTAACAAACCAGGAAACAGTAATGATGTGAAATATCGTCTATAGATATATTCATATAAGCGTTTGTTTGACAAAACCTAATTATAGACTTTTTTGATGTAATAATTTTGGTTTGGCCGGCCATAACCCTGACGTGGGATGGTTTATGATGTGCGTGCGGGATGCAATGAATAACATCCAAATATTGAAATAGGAAATATCCGCCCACTTTATTTACCTAATTAATATGCCCTCCATCAATTGAAACTAATGTGCCCATTTCCAATTATTTTGGTTCATCTACTTGTGACGAAGTCTCAGTGAAATCTAAATCAATAAACTCATGGGAATAAAAATACAGTTATTTGTAACTTCTTCTTCTCTACGTGCCGTTTTCGTTACGAAGATTGGCAATCAAAACGGTCCAAAACTGCTGAATTAAATAGTTGGCTTGTGTAAACTAATTTAAATCAAACTCCAATACGTTAACAATAAGAGTGTATATTTCAGACTACCTCGTCCAAAATAGTACATTAAAATACAAGTTTCATAAGACGTCATTTTATCGCACGAGCCCTATATTAGAAAACGAGTCGGAGGCGAGTTTTCTAAAGGGCGAGTGTTTGGGTTGATCGGTTGTGTCATGGATGCCAAAACAATGACTGATTCTGCTCGTTTTGGAGACAAAATGTTTTTATTGGTCTTGATGATGCAGTTCTGGGGTATGACCAAAATCCCTGTTTTGTTGAGTGTCACATCTTCACGAATGTCATCGCAGATGATTGCCACCTTAAGTTGATCAGCGCTAATAAACATCCAAGCATTGGGTGCATTCAAACGCTTCCATATGATACTAGATATCAAGGACTTCCTTCGCAGAGTGTACAACGTATTTTGCGATCGCTGATAGACTTTATCGATGATGCAGTTGGGAGTGGCTCCAATGTTTCGAGTCATAGTCGGTGAGCAGATGAATGCATCTTAATTGATGCTGATGCAATTTCTGAGCTCAGGTTCACTGAGCTGGAAGTATAATTATTTTAAATTGTAGTCTACTGCAATGAATTCGTTTGGCACATCGAGTATCCAGTAGGCATCTTTTGTTATTTTTGTTGGAATTGGTGTTGCCTTGATGAGCACAAGTTCGTTAATTTCTGTAATGATGAAGTATCCAAAGATGTGAATGAAGTCCTTGCTGTGCTGAACTTGGGTCTGCAGGATTGGGTACGAGATTATCTTGATGTTTGTTGGAAGTTTCTTGTTGGCTGATGCTATGGTTTCCTCAACGTGAGTTGAAGATATTACTTCAAATAGATGTCCACGGTGATAATGGATGTTTAAAAATTTTTGATGATAATCAGTGACTAAATCTATGTAATTTGCCACGATTTGGTACGCACTCAATAAATGAATTTTAAGTTTGTTTTCGTCAACTCGGCTCTACCAGCTCTGCATGTCGTTTATTGCTTTAATGCCCTCATTGAGTTTCTTCCTGAATCTTTCTAGCTGATTGCTGATTCGTATCTCTGTCTGGTTAAATGTAGCTACAGCACGTAGCATAAACTTTGCTTGGAGATTAGAGATCTTGATGAGTTCCTTTTGATTTTTTGCTAATTCTTCAATGTCTGCGTATACTTCATCGTTGACACCAAATACTGATGTGAGTAATTTTCCCATAAGTCCTCGCTTATTACGATTAGTGATCACGTTCATCCCTCTGTTCATCCACTCGACGTGTTGCTATTTCTCTTGAAGGAGTTGAATTAGCGATGGACATTCCGTGTTAGATGCTAATTCTCTGGCCCTCTCACAAAGAGACGAAACTTGCTGAATTGAAGAATGTATGTTGATGGTGTCATTCAATATCCTAGACTTGTTGAATCGGGGTTCCATTCTAAAGGTCCCCCTATCTATCTTTGCGTGTCCAATGTGCTCTACATAGAGGCCTGGAGGAGGATAATGTATCTCATATTTCTGGGCAGAAGTATTTCTTAAGGCGAACATAAATATCAGTGCCGAAATTACTATTCTCCAAGTCTTCCTGTAAATCTTCGAGTGGGATGGCTGGCTTCGTTCGAGTCTCATTGCCTCTAAGTCATCCTTCTCTGTTGGAATAGGGATTAGTTTATGTATGGGCTGTTTTGTAGGGCCTCCTTCTGCCTTTTTTAGAGTGACTACTCGCACCATGTTATAGTCTTGTGATGGGTGGATTTCCGTCATTCTACCGAGGGTCCATTTGCTAGGGTTGATGTCTTGCACTTTAATAATCATAAGATCTCCTAGTCGTGGGTTGATCTATTGATTTTGCCATTTGTAGCACTGCTGTAGCTGATGTAAGTAGTAGGACGTCCATTTTTTCCAAAAATCTCTTTTAATCTCCTATGCCAACCTCCATCTCTGGGTAAGACCTGATGTGATGGCTGTGGAGACTGGATCCAGAGGTTCTACTATAGATCTCCCAATTAAAAAGTTACCGGGAGTTAGCACATCTAGATCACTCGGATTATTTGTCATTGCATACAGTGGTCGAGAATTCGAGCAGTCTTTGATCTGGTGCATGAGTGTTGCCATTTCCTCGTATGTCGAACGGATCTCTCCAAAACTCTTCACTGATGGTACTTCATAGATTTGACTGCCGCCTCCCATAGCCCGCCAAAGTGTGGTGCTCCTGATGGTATGAAATGCCACTTTGCACTGCGTTTGTTCCCACTGATGATAGCTCGTCTTGAACATTGGAGTTCTGGATGGTCGTGACTATTTCCTGTTGAAGGATTCTGCTAGCACCGACGAAATTGGTGCCGTTGTCAATATAGGGATGTGCACAGCGTCCTCTACGTGAGATAAAGCGTCGGAAGGCTGCCAAAAAAGTGTCGGATGACATGTCGCTTACGACTTCTAGATGGACTGCCTTGATCGCAAAACATACAAAAATGGCAATGTATCCCTTGTATGCCTTGTGTCCTCTCCCTTTAGTTGTCCGAATCTGCAGTGGCCCGGCATAGTCTACGCCTGCATGCTCGAAAGGATGAGATGGTGATAATCTTGCTGCCGACAGATCTCCCATGAGCTGGTCCGCTGCCTTGAATCGAATACATTTTATACATTTCCCAATAACTGATTTAACAGCTTTTTTGGCATTTATTATCCAAAACTGTTTTCTTGTATATGCCAGTATGCGCTGGTTTCCTCCATGTAAGGTTTGATTGTGAGCGTCGAGAATTATGAGCTTGGTGAGATGGCTTTTTTAGGGTATGATCTTCGGATACTTGGTTTCGTATGGTAGATGTGACTTTTCTAATCGTTCGCCCGCTCTCAGCATACCCTTGTGGTCTAATATTCATTTATTTATTTATTAGGTACACCTTACAAACTCCAAAGTAGTAATTACATGTAAGGGGCAAATATTAAAACTAAGAGAACAACTTAAATACCTACAAGCTACACAATAAAATTTAATATAAAACATTAAAGCACATTTTCAAATCAGTTTTTCCAGCAAGTTTTTCCAGCAAGGTACATGGGTTCAACATAGAAGTAAAAATGA